ATTACTATTAATCTTCTCAAATGGGTTCCTATCACCCATTTCCTCCCACTTATGACTGTATGACTGTAACCTTGTTGCTTGCATCCTTATGATTTATATTGATTGTTTCCTAGTATCATTTGATTGCTTAATTGTATCCTATGACTATCATTAAGTGTTGTACCTTATGATTCTTGACAAATGTATCTTGTCTTTTTATGTACACTGAGAGCATATTCTCTCAGTGTACAAAGGCAAATTCCTTGTATGTCCAACTACACTTGGCCAATAAAGAATTCTATTCTATTCTAAACTTTCTGATTTTTGAAGAGTTTTCTCTATCTACATAAAACTGCCTAATAATATTTACCTCATAACTTTAACTTTATTGTTGCCCACCTTACAGACTATATTAAATTCCAAATATGGGTTAGATGTAACCTGATTACGTCTATTTTCTTTTTTACTTGGTTCTTTACAACTGCTTATTTCTTAGCAACTCAGTGTTTACAAAGTCAGTATAAATGAGACTATTGCCTGTCAGCACTTGCAGCATTTAAAAAACATTAGAAGAAGGCTAATTACAGTAACTTGCAAAAATATTGCTTATGCTGCTAAAATAGATGGAAATTAGAATTTTGTAAGGTTCAGAGAAAGTGATCAAGAGATTAGTCCAAAGGCCTTGGGAGCAAATGAAGAAAACTTGAGTACAATCTGTACAAGAATCTTCCTTCTGGAAATAGATCATTTCCAATTGCTGACAAAATGAACAAAGAAATATTATTTCTATATCATGGTAGTCACTTAAACACCCTATTTTTCTATTCCAAAATGGCAATGTTTCTGCAGGTTTCAGACAAACTGAGAGAAGGAAAACTTTAAGAAGTTATCTGTGGCTATTAAAATTGTAGCCAAAGGGTCATCAGGTCCATAAATGGAAGACATTTCATTGTGAAATAAGGAATTCTGCTTATGATCCTATGCATAAGATACAGTACAGTATTTAGTGACAGATAGTCCTGTGCAGATGATCTATTCTGACTTAGGAGAAGAACAAGAAGGATGATTAGGGGACTGAAGAGCATTTGAAGGAACTTGGTATGTCTGGTCTAGTGGAAAAAAAAGGCTAGAGGTGACATGATAGCAGTGTTTCAATCAATATCTAAGGGGCTGCTACAAAGAAGAGGAGGTCAACCTATTCTCCAAAGCACCTGAAGGCAGGATGAGAAGCAATAGATGGGAACTAATCAAGGAAAGAATAAATCTAGAACTAAGGAGTAATTTCCTGACAGTTAGTACAACTAATCAGTGGAATGATGTGCCTCCATAAGTTGTGGGTGCACCAACATTGGAAGTTTTTAAGAAGAGATTTGACAACCATTTGTCTGAATTAGTACATGGTTCCCTGCCTTAGACTAGAAGATCTACAAGGTCCCTTCCAAGTCTGTTCTTCTATAAGTGAAATGTTTATGGGTAAACTGAAAAATTCTGGTATACCTTCCTTGTGGAATATGCCTGGCTGGCGACTAAAGGTTGTGAAAAGTCTCAAAAAACTTCTTTGTTTTGGAGAGAGTCTTCATCCAACTGCCCCTTCAATGCAGCTCTTCAAAATGAAGCTCCCCTCTGCTTAAGTCAAGGTAGCCACATTTTGGTCTTGGTTAGTATGTACGTATGTGCAGAAAACTTGTTCACTGATGCCCCAGAGCGAGGCAAAGCAGAGAAGCAGCCTTTAGCTGAAGGCACTGGCATAGAGGGACTGACTTTTCAATACAGATAGTCCTCCTCTTACGACCACAACTGAATCCATAATTTATATTGCTAAATGAGAAATTTGTTAAGTGAGTTTTGCCCCATTTTGCATGTTTTGTTGACACATCTGTTAAATGAATCACTGCATTTGTTAAATTAGCAACCCGGTTGTTAAGTGAATCTGGCTTCCCCATTGACTTTGCTTGTCAGAAGGTTGCAAAAGGTGACCACATGACCCTGGAACACTGCAACAATCATAAATATGAGCCAAGTGTCAAGCATCTGAATGTAAATCATGCGACCATGGGATGTGGCAATGGTCATAAGGATGAAAAATGTTCATAAGTCACTATTTTCAGTGCCGTTGTAACTTCAGATGGTCACTAAACAAACTGTTATGGAATTAACTGTATTATGATGGGAAGTTGCTCCAAAGAGGCTGTGGAAAGCAAAGCCACACTGCATGGTTTAGCTGTGTGTAAATGTCTTGCTTTCAAGGTTCACTCAGCCTTCCATCCTTCCAAGGTGACGAGGACCGAGATTATTGGTGGAATTGGCTGACTCTGTAAACTGCTTAGAGAGGGCTGTAAAGCACAGTGAAGCGGTATATAAGTCTAAGTCGATTGCTATTTGTCTCCTGACTTTTTCATTTTAGGTGAATCTAATAGAAAGGCATCCTGAGGGGACTTATTCTACAAAGCTTTTTCAGGAAGCACAACAATCTGCAGAATTCTACCTCTCTACAACAATAACACTCAAACCTATCATCATTGCATTAAATTAATTAAAAAAGTGTGGAAATTACTATCAGAAACTCAGTTTTGATGGCACATGAGTTAGCGCAAAATGAAAAACAAAGCCCTTCCCTTTGTTAATGCAAATGAAAGCGCTAGTAATGAATATTAATTATTCCTGGACTTCATCCCAGGCCAGATATTATTAAATTTATGACCAAAAAGAAAAAAAAAATCCTGCTGTTGTCATTGTAAAACTGATGGCACTGTAAGTCTTCTATCAAATCAATCCAAAATCTATAGTTGAAGAATGCCTCCCTTTGGCTTCGTCCTTCATTTGAATCAGCCTTTCTATTCAGATTTAGGGAATTTAAATAGCAAATTATTATTTTTTGAATCGAACAATACAGTTATCATCAGGGGCAAAATTAAAACTAGTATCATTAAAATCAGTTAACAATGACACACTTAGGGCAAAAGATGGTTTTGTCATTGGCCTGAATATTGGAGAAATAAGGGCCAAATTCATTTCCATAGTCCATTCCATTGTGCACATGCCCCTATCCGGAGGTATGCATTGGTCAGAATTGGCATGTGAGTCAGAGGTGGTATTCAGCAGGTTCTGACCAGTTCTGGAGAACTGGTAGCGGAAATTTTGAGTAGTTCGGTAAATACCACCTCTGACTGGCCCCACCCCTTCTATTCTCCGCCTCTGGAGTCCCAGCTGATTGGGAGGGAATGGAGGTTTTGCAGTATCCTTCCCCTGCCACGCCCACCAAGCCATGCCACGCCCACCAAGCCACACCCACAGAACCGATAGTAAAAAATTACATCCCACCACTATGTGTGCGTATAAAAGTGATTGATGATTGATAGTGAAGTTGACAGACATAATCTTGGGATGAAAACTCTGCCCAGATGCACATTAAAAACGGGGGCTTAATCAAACAGTGGTGACTGCCGTCTTAACTTTTCTGATTCCCTTTGTGGACATTGCTTCACACATCCCAAATTCACAGGTAACTCTTTGAAGAAAGAGAGTTGTCTTCAACAACTGCCGTGGGGAAAGCATATACAGGTATTCTTGTTCTTTTCTTTAAGCTACTGTACTTGATAAACAACCCTGTGAAGGTTTTGACAAGCATGCATAATTTATTGCCGTCAACATGCAAAAGATTTTCTCTCTCTGCTGAGCAGACGGGCAGAATTAAGTTTCTTCGAAAATACCATAGAAAGCTTTGCTTGAAACTTTCCTGAATGTCTTAGGTACTTCATGGAAGTGGAAATGATACTACCAGCCCTTGGAACAGGGAACCGTACAAATTTCCCTCCTCAGTGAAATGTCCCAAAGGTGGTTTTTTTTCAGAAGGCAACTGGACTTTCTTGGTTTCTCTTTGAAGAAGTTTCGCTCATTCAGGAAGCTTCTTCAGCTCTGACCCGATAGTGGGGAATGGAAGGATTTATATTCCTTGCAGACAGCTGGTCATTTGCATCCTTTTAGAAGGTCATTGGATGCAAATGACCAGCTGTCTGCAAGGAATATGAATGCTTCCATTCCTCATGGTCTGTCAGAGCTGAAGAAGCTTCTTGGATGAGAAGCAAAATGTCTTCAAAGAAAAAACAAGAAAGTCCAGTTGCCTCCTGAAAAAAGCACCTTTGGGGCAACCATGACCTGGATGACAGAATATCTACAGATTTCCTCACTGAAATATTACATAAAGCTTGAAAACAGGCAAGAATCATCCTTATCAACCCGTTTGGTGTAGGCTTGGTCAAAGTTTAGAGGCAAACCATCAGTGTGTTTTTTTAAAGGTCACAAGACTTTTCTTGAATCAGATTGAAGCTCTGCAACAGCCTCCAAGTACAACAGCTGTATTTGAGAGTTCTATATCTATATATTGCCTATGTTTTTGGTCACAAATTCAATTCATTTTCCAACCCTGGCTGAAGGATCCACTGAATTGTATCCTGCTGGCTTGGCTCCTGCATATTTGACAGGATAACAGCTTCCTGGCCGTATGGATGACATTTTGCAGCAGTAAGGAACAAATACTCTGGAGGATCAAACTTTTAAAATAATCCCTATTTGAGGGACAGTGCTCTAAAGTCACTTGATTTATCATTCACTCATCTAATGTGTCAAAGTTTCATATTTCCCTGGAAAGTAGGGTAAAAGAGAAAAGCACATGGAAATCTTAAATAATAAATGCAACCGTCCTAAAAGAGCTAGTGATTCATACACCATCTGGATAGTTCACTTTTTGTTTTCAACAAGGTCACAAGGCTACATTTTCCAGGGGAATGTTCTCCTTTGGTAAATTTCATTAAAAAAAATTCTTAATGAAACTAGGGTGTTGTTAACAGAGATACAAAAACAGTCACCGTTCATGGAAAGGTTCAAAGGGAAATTAAAAATAAAAGTTGATTTTTCTGGTACCTACAGTATACTTCCTGATACTTATGTAGGTAGTAGCAATCATCACATAGGGTTGGAAGTATGGAGTAAAATTTAATCCTGTATCTTCTTTTTCTTACCAGTTTTAATTCAATTGGCTGAAAGGTAATTTGCTTTCTTCCTAATGGAGAAATTAGAAGAATTTTGTCAATTGACAGCTTTTATAGACAACCACGAAAGGCCATTCCTGTTCTATGCATTAGAAGAGGAGCATTTTTTCTACATTTACCATGGACTTGCCCACTTAAGCTTCAGCTACTTTATTATACTATTAGATCAGACAGGTAGATATCAAATGTAATTATTTTTTTATATTTCTCCTCTACTTCCCAAAGTAGCTTCTAATAAACATGCTTTTAAAAAGCCACACACACAAACACACACATATAGTGTGGAGAGAGAGAGGGCGGAGGGAGAGAAAGAGGTGGGATGGAGAGGGGAATACACTGAATGGCATTGTGTAAAGCATTCGAGGGCCGCATCAGAGTTGTGTTTGGCCTTGGGTGAAGGGGTAGACATGACTAGGATGGGTGTGACCAGCTTGATGTGACACGTGTTAGGGGTGCCTGTGGCAGCCCAAGCACTCTACCAGTGAAAACAGGCTCCCGAGCTCCCTTTTCAGCTGCGACAGCTTCCTGTAACCCTCTGCCAGTGAAAATGGCATGAAGCGAGGCAGTGTGTGCCCCCCCCCTGAGCTCTGTTTTTGCTGGAGGAGGAATGCAGGCTGGATCATTACTGTTTCCAGGGTAGCCCCATCAGATGTAATCACCCTGCGGGCCAGATACAGCCCACAGGACTTGAGTTTGACACCACTGGTATAGAGGAACATTTGCACAGTGTATGGGCCAGACCCTCTCAAGTCCAGATGGGAGATTCCACAGAAGATGGAGAATAAGAGAGCTAGAATTCTGAGGGATTTCCAGATCCAGACAGACAAGGTGGTGATAGATGTAGTGGTGCCAAGTGACAGCAACATCAGGAAGAAGGAGTATGAGAAACTGGAGAGCTACCAGGGTCTGAAGAAGGAATTAGACAGGTTGTAGAAAGTAAAGGCCAAAGTGGTTCCACTGGTGGAAGGAGCACTCATAACTGGGTCCCCATAAGCTGGGAGAGTAGCAGGTCTGAGGAACAACATCAGAATTCTCTGTCCAGAAGAATGCTGTGCTAGCAACAGATATGAGGACCTGAGATTGAGGAAAACATAGACCACCCATAGGGATGAGAAAGAAATTGTTTTTCAAAAAAAAATATAATTGATGGGTGATGGTTGTGCATCTGTATGTACACACACATATACCACACACAGAGACACATCATCAATTATCATATGTTAATGAGAGAGAAAAATCACTCATCTTTTCAATGATTTTCTTATTTTCTATCCCACTTTTCCACCCAGAAGAGCAATGAAGGCAGTTAATGTTATAATGTTATAACATTAAATACATATAAATACATATCAATGTTATAAAAATACAAATACTAAATTATTTTAAAACAACAACAACAAAGTAATATTGTTCCAATATATTAATCAAATCAATTAACTAATTAAATTCCTAGTGAATGACATGGATCTTTACCAACAGTGTCGCCGTTGAGATAATCACTTCTAAGGCTAATGGTCAAGGAAGGCATCCATTGCATAGCCTAGGTTGAAATTTATTTATTCATTAAATTTGTATAACCATCCATCTCAAATAAGTGACACTGGCAGCAAATAATCATAAACTCAGTTAAAAATAATAACCCCTACTGAGAAACTATCTTGATGTGATGGTGGGGCTTGTATGCTCTGAGGAGGAGGAAGATGTCTATGCTAGAAGTTCAACCATACTGGACAGATCTCATTAGAGGAGCTTTGTCATTGTTAGTTGAGAAGTTGTGTCCAACCCATCATGATCCCATGGACAATGTTCCTCCAGGCCTTCCTGTCTTCTACCATCCCCCGGAGTCCATTTAAGCTTACGCTGACTGTTTCAGTGACTCCAGCCACCTCATTCTCTGTCGTCCCCTTCTTCTTTTGCCCTCAACCTTCCCCAGTATTAGGCTTTTCTCCAGTGAGTCCTTCATTCTCATTAGGTGGGCAAAGTATTTGAGTTTCATCTTCAAGATCTGGCCTTCTAAAGAGCAGCCAGGGTTAATCTCCCCTAGGACTGACCGGTTTGATCACCTTGCAGTCCAAGGGACTTTCCAGAGTCTTTTCCAGCATCATAGTTCAAAGACCTCAATTCTTTGGCGCTCTAGAGGATCTGGATCAAGGCCAACAATAAAGCGGGACATAACTTACAGAAACTTATACTGAATTGGTCATCACCCAGGCCAACAAGGACCACACTAGGTGGCAAATTACTGTACCTGGACATCTGATGACAAGTGGCATATAGGACTTGGGACTGTTGGCTGAGCAATCAGGGCCAGTAGCAGCAGTCTACTGGAAGAAAAGTTGCTTGCTTGTCACAAATATTCAAAAAACCAATTTAAATAAATAAATAAAATTAAAATCTGAAACAAACATCGTAATGATTTACTATTATAAATCAGGTCCAGCAAGAAGAGGATATCATCATTGTCATCATCGTCGTCATCATCATCATCATCATCATCATCATCATCATCATCATCATCATCCAACTGTCCTGGGTGGCTTAAGTGGTTTACAATATTTACACTAGACTGTTTAAAGCCATTAAAACAAAATAACAGATTAAGGTCAATAATCAAAATTCAAAATCATTCAAGCTACAAAAAATATTAAAATGCATGCTCCAAAGATGGATTATTAAGGCTTTCTTAACAGCATCTAGAAAAAGTAGACTTCTGGGAGCTCCTGGGCATTTCACTATTTAGATCAAACCAAAGGTGTTTATGCAAGTCCTGCTCCCTTGATAGAAGCAAACTCTATTCATAACCCAATATAATACAATCTGCAATCCAAATGAAGCAGCTAGTTTGGTAATAGAGTTTGAAATAGAGCCAATCCGCTGTATTCTTACAAGTCTTATAAAATCTTAAGCTTGATCCTCATTCTTTTATTAGACCATATTATTTTAGTTTTTTGTTCCTGACAGTCTTCTGAAGATTTTCAAAGCTCATGCAGCTCTAATAGATAGTAGCAAACATGAGGGACAGGATGAAATCTTGAGGCATTGCAAAACATGACAGACACAGGGGCTATAAATAGTACCACAACTGGTCTCGTTCCTGAAAAAGAGCAGTAATCCTCAGAACATCTGGCTTCTAAGCTTTGTTCCAGCAAGTCATGTACCAAAAACAGCTTTCTCTTTCTGGTCCATCTTCCAGTGAAGGTCATGCAACCAAGTCACCAAGCTGAATCCAATGGCCAGAACTGGAACAAATATAAACAGTCATTATCAACCCTGAAATGTCTGGAGGTGAAACTCTGTTTAGTAATTTATCTAAAAAGAAGGAGTTTGACAATAACATTTTTCTATTTAAATCTAGGGTGCCTGTATTTATTTTCCTTAAATGGGACTGAACCTGCCCTTTAGAAAAATAAAAAGATGCCACTCAACTCCAGGATCCAGTCTGATAATTCAGAGTCAGATGCTTTTGATAATCCCCCCCCCCAAAAAAAACAAGATTCAGAGAGCAGATGGTAGAATTCAGGGAAACAGAAAGTAATCAAGCAAATAAATGTACTTATGTGTACACACACGAGAGCAATGCTTCTGCCATCTGGATAACACCGACAGAATATAGTAATACCCTTTAGAATATGGACTATTGCTGAAGTCTTTGAAACAGGTGCTTCAGGGGGTGCTCGGAATATTACTTCAGGTACATCTTTATTATTAACACAAACCAGTTTGCCCTTAAGACTATTGGGTTAGTACTTTGAAGAATCAAAGCTGCATAAGATCAATAGATTTTCATCTGCTCTTTGTCTCCTACCTTTCCTGTTTTTGAGTTTACATTTCCTTGCATTACATCCTATAAACAACATGTCCTCTTGATTGGTCAAATTATTTCCGACTATTCATCATCCACAGCAAAGGAACAAGTGTTTTGTGTCCCTGTGAATCAAAGCAACTGAAATAATCATAGAGATTCCAAACTTAATGGAGTTAATGAATGTAGGAGAGAAGCAGAATTGTGAGTTTTTTTTCAAAGAATTCTTTATTTTTTTATTCTCTTACATACCATTGTGAGTATACATTCACATGATTGTTATTCTTCTTTACATTTATCATTCTTATACATTTATTATTTCATTTAATAGGTTATAATATACAATTTGGGTTGCTTTGTTTACCATCACTTCCTCCTGTTGTAACACCACCTTGTTTTCCCTTTCTTTTCTCCCTCACTTCTCTAGTTTCTTCCTTCCTTCTCTCCTTCCCCTTCCTTCTTCCCTTACCTATCTCCTACTCCTACTCTTCATCTTCCCCTAACCCTACCCTCTCTCCTCTTTCTCTTCCTTCCATCCTCCTCTACTTACCTCTTTCTTCTTTCCCCATGTTCCTTTCATTCTCTCCTCCTCTCATTCTTTCTTTTTCTATTGTTGTTGGTGTATATTTCAAATTGTGATATTCGAATTGTGATTTTTGTAGAGTAATGAAAAGTTATAATGAACATTTTTTTGTATTAAAATATATATAAAATGAATGTTTAAAATATGTAAGACTTACTAGACGTCATTCTCCTGTTTCTCCTGCTTTCCCTAAAGGTTTCTTAAAATGACATCTTTTGATTTATAGGGCAAAAGAATAAATTGGCAACTTCCTCTTGTATTGAAGAAATGATAATTTATGACTCAAAGAAAATTCCTTATTGACAGTTTCTGTCTTCCTTTCTGAAGACTCATTCCACAATCTGGGATAGGCCAAGACCTTCAACCAGCTAAATAAGTGATCTCAGAATGAAAGGCTTTTATGTTAGCTCCTCTTCCGCTTCAACCTGACAGCATCTATCCACAAATAAAATATGTGTCCAAATTAACAACCAAGAGTAAGCAATCAACATAGATGCCATCAAAAAGCTATAGATAATTCAAACCTTACTTCATGACAAAAATAGATATCAGGCGAAGGCAGCAAAGGGAACATATAAAATCACTGGTGCATGCTGATTGTTTATGTAATACTCATAAAAATAAATGTCATGCTAAAGGGACTGCAGTCAATGCTAGCGACTGGTACACTACATTTCTGTTGCACAATGACAACCACCACAAATTCTTGACACTCCTTAAACTTGATTCCCTTTCTAATGGCCAGCAATACTTATTTTACAGATAGGTTGATCTACCTGCTTATTTCTTTCTAGTTGTGATCTTCAAAGGCTTAGTTTATAGTCCCTTTAATAACCTAATAAAACAAGACTCAAGCTCAACCATATGTCTCAGGAAGCTCATCTGTGGCACCAGAGTATTTCAAAACAGATGGGGAGGAATTAAAATTAAATTTGAATGTCCCCTGGCAAGGGTTAAACTATCATTGGCTTGTTTCACTTTTGTAACTGATAGAAGGACAAAACGTGATATACTGACATTGGGTAATGTAAGCCTAGAAAAAGCATGCCTGCACAAGTTTTTCAAAAAAAATGTCTGTCCAAGAGCAGTGGGAGGATCATGTAGGGTTTGTTACTCCTAACTGTGACATAAAGTCAGATTTATCATCTAATTCTTCCTCCATGTCTTAGTTGACCTCTCAGTATTTTCCTTGGTTACCATGCCAATTTCAATGTTTATCTTGTTCTGTTCATATTTATATAAAGAAGGCAATGTATTTTCTTTATGAAAGATAAAAATCCTTTGTGTTAAGCTCATATGCTGTACTCTTTCTCAGACTTTCCCTCTCTAGTATGCACACATGGTTCCAAAGGAACCTCAAATTGTGGCTTGCACCATTGTGAATGAAGAGATTTGATTTATACCAGGTTTTTATACCAGCTGTTGATACAGTTCTACAGAGGAATTATTAAGTCTGTCATTTGTATTTCTATAACTGTCTAGTTTGGTACAACAATTAGACAGGACAAGTACAGACTTAACTCAACAGTTAACACTGCAGAAAAAAACAATTGCAACCACCCTGCCTTCCATTGAGAACCTGTATATTTCATGGGTCAGAAAGAGGGCTGAGAAAATATCTACAGACCCCTCACATCCTGCCATAAACTGTTTCAACTTCTCCCCTCAGGACACTGCTGTACGGCATTGCATGCCAAAACATCCAGAGACAGAGACATTTTCTCTCTCTCATGCCATCACTCTGCTAAACACCTGATTCCCACAGTACTAAGGATATTTACCCATGTATTGGGCTGTATTGCTATTATTCCTCTCATCTTTCCTATTACCTTCTCCTATTGATATCTTATGATTTATCACTTTGTTGTTAGTATCTTATGGTTTATGGTTGTGTTTTATGATTTATGGTTTATCACCTTGTTGTTTGCATGTACACTGAGAGCTTATGCATTGGAGACAATTTCCTTGTGTGTCCAATCACACCTGGCCAATAAATAATATTCTGTTCTGTTCCGTTCCGTTCCCTCCCCTCCCCTTTCATTCTTTCCCTTTTTTCAGGCTGATGGTTACATTTCCCTTTTATAACTCCAGGACTTCATTTAAATCAGTAACCCATTTCCAAACTTAACACGATAACAACATTCAGAGGTCAGATGTATTGAGAGTTAGTGAGTGGTCCATAATCGGCCAGTGACTTCTCTGATTGAATTGAAATTTGAAACTAAGTCTCCCCAGCCAAAG